TGGAGATGTGTTACATTCATTTATGCTGTGGAACATTTGTTCAATGATGCAAAGATGTGTTGCATTCTTTTCTGTTGCATTTGTTTAACACTGTGAAGCTGTGTTACTTTGCCTGCCAAAAATACCTGATTGGTCTAATAAAGAGCCGAATGCCCAATAACTAGGCAGGAGAGAAACAGATAGGGCTGGTGGGCAGAGACTAAATCGGAGGAGAAATCTAGAGAAGGGGAGGAGGGAAAAAAGGAGATGGAGAGGAAGATGTCAGGGGCTAGCCACCCAACCACACGACCAGCCATGGAGTAAGAAGGAAAAAAAGGCATACAGAGTAAAGAAAAGTAAAAGCCCAGAGGCAAAAGATATACAGGCCAATTTAAGAAAAGCTGGCTAGAAACAAGTCAAGCTAAGGCAGGACATTTATAGGTAAGAATACGTCTCCATGTATTTATGTGGGAGCTGGGTGGTGGGCCTCCAAAGAGTAACAAAACAAAACAGAACACAACTATACCACACCAACCAGAACAGTTTAGTAACCCTGCTAACTAACTGCCCCCCTTCCTAGATTCTGCTCTCCAAATCCCTACCTATAGCCCAAACCATCCCAGCTCATTGCTGCCCTACTGCTGGGCCCTGCCCTCAAACCCAGTAGATATTCCCATTTATACATGTGTATAGTGTATGTTTTTAAAAGATTTTAATTTCAAGTGGTGTGTGTGCGCGTGCACACGCGTGTGCATGTGCGTGTGCCCCCAGCATGAGTGCAGGTGTCTATGGAATCCAGAGGCCCACAGCTGGAGTTACAGAGTGCTGGGAACCAAACATCCTTCTCAAGAGCAGTGCACAGTTTTAACTGATGAGCATCTCTTCAGTGCCTAGACCCTAGATCTCATTCCCTCCCTACTGCTTGATCCTGTCTCTCACCACCCACACACCACCAGCCTCCTTTCTCTTCTCAAAGAGTTCCCCCATTTCCTTTCAAACGTTTTTCGTTAAGTCTAGATTCTACACATAAGAGACACATCTTTCCAAGCCTGGCTTATCTCACTTAATATGATTTTCGTGAAAGAATCTATGGTCCCTTTCCTTAGTGGCTTGATGATACTCAGTGGTGCATACGTGCCACATTTTCTCACCTGTGCCCTGGAGATCCAGGGGAGTCCAGAACGTGGCTACACTGACGCGTCATTCAATAACATGGGTGTGCAGGATCTCTGTGGTATGACACTTGGATTCCTCTAAATGAATCTTATAACCTAACCCATGGATCCCACTAACTTACGGCTGTAAGGACAGCAGACATCCAAGGGTATCTGTTGAACTGAGTTGGGAGCCAGCAGCTTTTCTAAAAACGAGGTGATGAATTTGGGGGGAGAATTGCTTGTATGAAATTCTAATTGTCTTATGAAGTTTCTATAAGAAAGTAACAGATATTCTTGAACATTGTTCAACTCATGCTAACCCAACAGAATTAAATAATAATTGAGCTTTGAGATAATAAGAGTAACAATGGCTTATGAGTTCTTCAGGCGAGCAGCACGCGGTGGCTGATACTAAGGCATCTTCCCGGGGGTGGGAACAATGTTCGCAGATTTTAACAGGTATAACTTGAATCCTGACTTTTTTTCTCCTTAGATATGCAACTTTTGGGAAACAACTTTTATTTTTAATGTAAAGTGGAAATGCTATGAAAGCCGAAGTAAACAGCGGGCATTTCACGCTTTCCATGAGGAACTCTGAAGGCAGTGATGACCCATGGCAAAGCTCCGCGTGGCTGGAGTGGGTCAGCTGCCAGCCGTGTGACGATAGCCCGCATCCAGAGTGCCTGCTGCAGCTCATGCCAGTGAAGCTGAGGCTTGAGCCCGTGGCAGAGCCTCCAGTGTGCGAATGGGGAGGGAGCCGTCTGGACCACATCTGCTGAAGAAGCTGCGTTCTCTCCCTTGGCCTCACCCAGAGATACCACACTGAGATGGGAAAAGGCAACTTTACAGCCTTTCCTTCTGCGTTTTATTCAGATTTTCAAATGCTTTAAGATAACTTTTCAAATTGTACGATCTCTTTAAGCAGTTAAGTTTATGGAATGGCAATGATAAAGTTTCTGTCAAGTGTCAAGAATCTCTGTTCTTGAGTACACAGTGACCATGTAACTCACTGTCATCACTCACTTCTCCGAGTTTTCTATTCAGGTCACCATTTGAGATTACACCTCTCTCTCTCTCTCTCTCTCTCTCTCTCTCTCTCTCTCTCTCTTCCCATCTTGAAAAGAAAATGAGAAAACTAAGTTTTCATGTGATGTGTTTCCATTTTCTTTGTGATTTGTAATTGAGGTTTGTAAATAGCCCCCACCTGTTGAGTCACTGCTTGGGATGATTTATGTTGGCTTGAGGCAGAGGAAACCATTTCCCTGGTTTTCCTGTGAGCCTGGAGTGGGCTCTGCTGAGTCGGATGGTCAGAGTGATTTGTGAGTGGGTCTTGATATGAGATGTTGTTCTCTCTTCAGTATAATCCCTCTGTATCTACACACAGAGGCCAGGCAGTGGCGAGTAGTGTGTTCCTCACAGTACTGTGTGTGTACACATGCGCACACTCATAAGCGTGTGCATGTGGTGGCTAGGGGTCCACCTCCAGTGTCCTCCCTCAGGTTCCACGTGCCTTGTTCTTTGAGGCACATTACTCTTTGGCCTGCTACTTGTCAGTTAGGCTGACTGAACAGTGAGCCTCAGGACTCTCCCCATTTCGACCTCTCCTGTGCTGGGATTGTGAGTGTGTGCAATCACACCCAGTTTTTTTCCCACATGAAACTCAGGTCCTAATGTTTACAAAACAAGAGCTTTGATGAGCCATATCTCAGCAGTCTCCTCTTGTTTCTATCTATCTATCTATCTATCTATCTATCTATCTATCTATCTATCTATCTAGTCTTGTTTTGTTTCAATGACTCTGAGTTTCAGGCAGAGCAGCAAGCCTGTGAACATTTCCTAATTTGCTATGAAATGGAATTGAAACTAGGAAAGTATGATTTTTTTAGACAAGTGTTATCCGTAAACATACAGGGTCTGCAAACATGACAGAGGAGTACTCAGTATCTCAGTGTCTCTGAGATTCACCTGGGTGGAGGACTCTCGGGATACATCGGAAGGTGTATTTTGGACGACAACATGGGGAAGCCGAAAACCATTTTCCGAAGTGTACCATGTTGGCGTGGGGTAAACAGGACAGTGTGGTGGGATGGAATTAACGGACCAACAGAGACTAGTAGTCATTGGGATAATAAGATAAATGCGTTGTGGGTTTCTATGACAACGGGGGGCCCCAGCTGTTCCTCTGGTCCAGCTTGTTGTAGAGTGGTCCACCTGTGCCAAGTCTCGCCCAGGTTTGCCACTCTATTTCACTGTTCCACAGACGGCAGCAGATGAAACACGAAGCAACTCGTGAATGCTGCTTCTCTAATGGAGGCTGCCATTTTTCTCTTAAGAAGATACATTAAAATGAACACCAAAAATATATTTCTCATGCTGCATTTGCAGTTCATTGATGTCTGGGGGACGATGTGCCCAGGAAGCGAGTTGAACGGATATCCAGCTGTAGCCTGGGATCAGCCATGTCCTTTCTGCCAAGGGTGATGACTGTGTGAGGTGAATGGTGACTTAGGAAGTTCCCAGAGTCCCTCCATCACTGGATTTCTGGGTTCTTCTCTGTCCCACTTTCTAGTGTGACTTCACAGATAACTTTCTTCATTTCTCTGTTTCCCTGTCTGTATGACGAGGTAAAGGCTCTGCCTTTTGTCAGGACCCAACCAACCTCATTTACATTGGAAACTCTTACAGCCAACAATAATACCCACTGCTATCATAATTATTCTTTTATTTTTGAAATACCTATTTAATTTTATTTATGTGTAGATGTGCATGTGTGTGTGGGCGCCTGTGGGGTCAGAAGAGGGAGTTGACTCCCTGAGAGCAGCTGCCCAGCATGGGTCCTGGGAACTAAACTTAGGTCCTTTGCAAGTGTAGTGCACGCTCCTGTTGCTGAGTTAGCGCTCTGGCTCCAATTATTCCCTTATTTCAATTGAGATCTATACATGAGCCACAACCAGTGATGTGACAAATTTAAGAACCTTTCTTCTGCTCATATTCTTCCATATTTAGTCTCACTACAGTTGGACTGTAGAAGGCAGGGATACGCATACACGGTTCTTAGAAGATCTTTGTGGTTGAAGGGTAAGGCCTTAAAACATGCCCAAGGGACACAGAGACTGCCATTGCTTCTTTCGGAACTGTAGGAGAGGTAAGCGGCCATAATGAAGCCTGTTGAGGAGCTCTGGGGCTAGCAGTGGACAGTTAGATAGGATTCACGGTCTACTTCTTCCTGCTATTGAACCCTAGCAAACCATGGTGGACTTTACTGAGACTGACAGCTCCCGTAAGAAATATCTTTATAATGCAATTTATAGTAACACACAGGATTACTGAGTATTAGATAACACACACACACACACACACAACTCGGTAAGTCTCTGTGGTTCTCTGTACTGGGCACTCATTAAGTAGCTCTCATTATGGTTACCATTACTGCTGGTGCTGGAGTAATATAATTCTTGGCATAAATTTATTTTAATGTGACAGAATATTGGGTATAACCTCTTTACAGGGCATGGATGTGAATGAATACGCAGGGTGTAATTTCCTCTTCTTGGTGCTCTGTTACGTAAGTTGTGCTAATACTGGACTAGAACAGATTTTTGTATTGCCAAATAATGGGACAGTCAATGGCAGCACAAGGAAAATGTGCTAAGTACACAGTGAATTCATTAGCACATTTTCCAGCCAAATACATGGAACTGTATACAGTTATTCTAAGCACCGAGACAGCTCTGGGGTGAGAACACACTTTGCAATGCAAAGTTTAGAAAAACACTTCAAACTTTCTGTGCACAATTTAAATAAAATATTTACGCTGCAGTTCCTGCTAGAGCAGACGGGTTTCCTAAGATTTGCTTTTGTTACCTGTGCCGGAGCCACAAGTTCCAATTCGGAAGCCAACTCGGAGTTGAGGGCACTCTTCCCGGAGCTCAGTTCTGGCTGAGACCTGTGTTCTGAGGACCTGCAGGGAGACATTGAGGCCATTTGTGCACAGCAAGAACAAGCGCAGCCAGAAACCCAGCAGCAACCAGGCTTTGGGCAGAACTCCGACAGAAGTAAACTTTTGAAAGTTTCCTTCATAATTGTCACTTCCATTTAAACAACTATAGACTGTCTGCTAGATAGAAGTTTTTCCCTTTCTCTCCCTCCCTCTCTCCCTCCTTCCCTCCCTCCCTCCCTCCCTTCCTTCCTTTCTTTCTTCCTCTCTCTCTCCCTCCCTTTCTAACCCTCCCTCCCTCTCTCCAATTCCTTTCTTTTTTCTCTTTCTTTCTTTCTTTCTTTCTTTCTTTCTTTCTTTCTTTCTTTCTTTCTTTCTTTCATAACTGAGAGTCCAGGTGAACCATGGGAAATGAACACAATACCAATTTTCACATAGGAAATTCCATATTTATGAAAAATAGCATTCTGATCTGGTTGGAGATAGTTCATAGACAGAGCCCTATGCATTCGGATTGTCACCGTATAGGGATATGTATCAGGGCAAAGGAGACAGAAACAGGAGGCTGCCCTTCCCAAATCTTTAAAAACTGGTGTTCTGGTCATTTTTCTTCAACTTAACACAAACTAGAATCATCTGGAGAAAGGGGTCCTCCGTTGAGGAATTGTCTCTATCAGATCAGTCTATGGGTGTGATTGAAAGAGCAGAAAAGCTGTGTAGCCAGGAACCACTGACTGCCATTGGGGCAATGATACCTCTCTCTCTCTCTCTCTCTCTCTCTCTCTCTCTCTCTCTCTCTCACACACACACACACACACACACACACTGCACTTCTGTCAGCTGATAGCTCAGCTACACATTTTTGCTTTTTCTTTCTTTTTTTACTTTTTAACTTTTATTTATTTATTTTTTACAATTTAGTCAAAGTGGTTTGTGGAAGTGCTAAGGTATAGAAGGTTATTATTCAGGATCTTGGGTTTCTGGATTCACTGAGCCCCCTGACCCTTCCCAGACACAAAGGGCACCCGCGCTCAGTCAGTGTAAACTGCGGTCTCAGGACACCTTACCAGAGGAGCTCTTTGGACCCGGTCCTCGACGAGCAGGACTCCCTTTCTGCCAGGAGATGGCCCTTGCTTGTTCGCTCCCCATGAAGCTTGACATCATCCCACTTTTCCAGCTGTGTTTGAATATCTACTGAGGAAGAAGAAAGTGGAAGAGAAAGCCCAGGGCCAAGCATGAGGGCACAGATAGAAAAGAGATTGATTAGGAGACCCAAGGCCAACATTTATTTTCTTAAGGGTGCATGAAAATGAATTAAATCATAGGCAGCTAAAAAAGACCAGGCTTATTAAGATAAACTGGGTTGCCTTTCCAATTGAAGCACTCAAGTAAAATTAATTTCTAAAGCTAGTTTTATGAATCTATATGTATTTGCCTGACATACAAATGCATGCACACACATGCACATGTACACACACATACACACATGCACGTGTGTGCACGCCTGATATTCTCTCAATTTCCTGGTTGCACGAACTGAGGTGTTAACTGTCCTTTCATAGGAGGAATATCGAGTGTGCTGATAAAAGTTGAGCTTGGAAGTCGGCTAGGATCAGGTGTGCATTTCCAGCTCTTTCTCTTACTAGCTGTAAGATCTTAAATAAATTAAAATTTAAACCCCGTTTTCACAGATTTCAGAGTTGTAGTAATGAGACTAACCATGTAGGTGATGCAGTGTAGTTGCAGGCTATGGCAAGCCAGCAGTGAGGGGGATTACCAGCTATCACCATCACCCTGGATATTATCTTAGCAATGTTTTGTCTGGATGTCCCCAAGTCCTGTGCTGCTCTTATTTGTCCCCTTTTCCCCTCTCTTCTCTAAACTGAGAATTCCTAGAGAGCACGGACCACATTTTCCTGTAATTTCAGCTCCTGGCATCCCCCACAAGCTCAGCCCATTGGGAGGAACGCACTGTGCACGAATCTACATCACTTTTCTGAAGCAGAGCCCCGATAGCTACTCAGTCCAAGCACAAAAGAAGCTACCCCCTTCCCAGTTCCCAGAAGAACTTTATCTTTCCCACTCCCATGTTTACTCTCTGAAAGTCATCCTGAACTTGACTGCCACATGGGTGCTGACAAGACAAGCCACAGCTGCTGCAAACCTTTGCCTTACCTAAGTCTAAGGATGATGTCTCCGGGCCCCGCAGAGCCTGGGCCCTCTGCTCGCTGTCCCCACTGATGAGGTCAGAGCCATCGGCTTTCTTCTTGAGGGATGAGCTCTTTGATGAGGACTCTGATTTCTTGCCTTTGGTTTGGGTTTGAGAGACAGGTTCACTCAGGTCCAGGAGATCCAAGCCAGTGGTCAACACTATGGAAGACAGAAGGTTAGAGAAGCCCATTTACTTCCTGTAGTCATTATTATTTTTCTATTTATTTTTGTATGTATGTATGTATGTATGTATGTATGTATGATGTATGTATGTGTGTGTGTATGCATGCATGCTCAAGGGTGCATGTGTGTGTGTCTCTGTGTGTCTGTGTGTAGGTCAGAGACAACTTTAGGTGTTGTGCTTAGGTGCTGTCTGCTTTGCTTTTTGAGATAATGTCTTTCACCGACCTGGCACTGGACAAGCATGTTAGTCTGGCTGGCCTTTGAGCCCTCAAGATCTGCCTGTTTCTGCCTTTCCAGGGCTAGGGTCAAATCACCATGCCCCTTCCTCTTTTCTTTCTTTAAATATGATTTCTGAGGATGGAACTCAGAGCTTTGTCCTTACAAACCAGCCACTTTACCATCTGAGGCCCCTCTTCGGTCCTCAGTAGTCTTGTGTGTCAGTTGGATGTATTGAGCCCCTATGTTGATAGGCTGAATTAGAGTCGGCAGTTCAAGCCTCTCGTCATTGACAGGAGAAGGTCTGTGAGGCTGGGAAGCTGGCCGTGTGTCCCCTAGGCTAACACCAAGCAAACCTCACCTAGACCCACCTCCGTGGTGAGAAAGTTTAGGACAAAAATAAAACAAATCTCTGTTCAGGTGCAGTAGCTTTATTCTGATTAATTTCTAGGGAAGGTTTGCTTTCGATTATGGCTTTTCCAGAAAAGGGACGATGCACACAGAGTTCATAAAGTCTAGCATAATCGTTTACTGAATTAGACAGTTTGGTTGGAAAATCACATACTGCCCGGGGCTCACTGGAGATGGGTTATATAATGCAGTTGGTGGGCAGGGACGGTGCTAACTTCTTGACATTTACTACACCAATTTTTATTCTGGCATAACCAGCTCTAGGGTGGTTACACTTTTACTTCCTAGTAGGTTGATTTCAATGAAGGCAGAAATAATAGCATGTTCCTTTGCAAAACCAGAATGAATAAGGTCAGCTTTGAACCTGTTCCTTTTTCCAGCATAGGCAACTTGTATTTAACTAGCCCTTCCTGAGAAATGGGACAGAAAGGAGACACAATTCCTCCCTCCAGCTCTTCCTTGCCTTGGGCTAGAGAGGTTGAGCACCCATCTGAGAAGCCAGGGCCTTCCTCAAACTCTTCCCTCCACTTAGGCAAAGCAAGAGACAGTAGAGCAGCCCCTTCATTGATCTCCCCCGCAGTCTAGAGCAACCACTACAGCACATTTCCCAATCACAAGTCATCCTCTGGGTGGAGATCAGTCCCATCCCATCTGCTTCCCACTTGGTGGTCCCCTTGGCAGAGCCAGGGCTCCACTGAGCTCACAAGACCTGTTTCTTTAGTCACACACAGTCTGCCTGAACATATACACGAGCTAGCCCTCCTCAGGGGAGTCTCTGGTGTGTGAGTCAAACTTGAGTCCCCTATCACCGTGTGTCTGATGTGCCTGGAGGGAAGTTTCTGGAGCAGCCTGAGCTCTGAGTTTCTGCATCTGAAAATGGAGAATCAATAGTCTCTTAGAAGGGTGGAAAGGAGAATAGATGGTCCAGTGGACACAAAGTGCCAGACTTGTTCTAAGTTCTCACTCAGTAAATACTGTTTCAGGCAGAAGAAGGGACAGCATAGCTGTGGAGAGTTTGCTTGGCATTTATGAGCCCCTGGGTTTATCCCCAGCACTGTTCACACATACACACAGAGGCACAAACACACACACACACACAGACACACACAGACACACACACACAAACACACACACAAACACACACACATACACACAAACACACACAGATACACAAACACACACACAGACACACACACAGATACACAAACACACACAGACATACACAAACACACACAGAGACAGACACAGACACACAGACACACACAGACACAAACACAGATACACACAGACACACACAGAAACACACACACACAGACACACACAGATATAGATATACACAGACACACACAGACACACACAGTGACAAACACACACCCAGACACACCCAGACACCCAGACACACACCAGACACACACCCAGACACCCAGACACACCCAGACACACACACACACACCCAGACACACCCAGACACACACACACAGACACACACACACAGACACACACACACGCACACACACACTTTCTATTTTTGAAGGGCCAAATTGTAACAGATCCCTCTTTCTTATTTAGTGTTCCTGTTCTCCTGTTCTGTTTCAAGCCACAATCAAATCTACAGAGAGAGAGAGAGAGAGAGAGAGAGAGAGAGAGAGAGAGAGAGAAGAAATGTTCCTGAGGACAAAACAATAAGAGACAAAGATTTTGTCTTCACAGAGGAGTCTATGAGGTGAATTTGTCACGAATGGCCTGAAGGAGTCATCTTGCTGTTGCTGAGTTTTCTGGAGAAGATGGGAACCACTTTCTAAGGGCTTGGGGAGAGGAGTGCATGGTGAGTCAGAAGCAAAGTGGGTGGAAAGAGGCTGCTAGAACCAAGTCAATTGGCTTCTGAGCCAAATTTAAGCCTGGCAGGCAGCCAAGACAGGGTTCCATACACTTCCTATTCACTGGACGGTTAAATGAAACTTCTATACACTATAGGAATGGCAAGGACTCTAGGCCAATGGGACTTCCTTATGATGGAAGGAATACTCCAAACGCCTTTTCCATCGTACAAACATTTAAAAACTAGCCTCTTGCCCCTAGACTTCTTTTAGAAGCAAATTTTCTAGGCATTGTGAACTTATAAATTGAAAGTACTTTTGCTACAAAATAGTAGCTGGCGGGTTTTAATTTAATCTCTGTTTCTGAATGAGTGAACAGAAAACTCAAACTGGCCAGTCATACCTGTCCACTCTGAAGCATCCTGGGCCCTTTCTGTGTTCTCCGTGCTGTCATTGTTTTTTTTTTTCTTTCTTTCTGTAAATATGAAGCTGGAGCCTAGCTTATGCAAAGGCCTTACTTACTGCCCATTTACTGGAAGCAGTGTCTTAGAAGTCGAATGGCTTTGAAGCCGAGAGTCCCCTAGGATGACAACTTTAAAAGCCGAGAAGGTTAGGGCAGCCTCTGGAGTCTGGGGGACAGCATGTGGTTATGTGTAGGGTGCAGTAGTTGAGGCTTAAAGTCAAGGGCTTGCAGCCCCTCCGGTGCTCCAAAGCGAGCATGCCTGAGCACAGAAGCTGGGTGCTTTGTTGACTTCTAGATTAAAGTGAAAGCATTCTCCTGGACACATGAAGGTTTGGGTCTCAGTGCTTTTGTGTGTAAAGTAAGAGTCCAAGAATCATTGGCTTTCAGTTGTGTGTGTCAGAGTGCACATGTGTGTGCACATAAGCGCAAGGAAATACCTTCTAAGCAGCCCTTTCTAACTGTTGGTCTCATGACTCGATCAGAAATCACAAGCAAGGACCACAGCTTCTCTTATTGATCTCTGAGAAGGAACCTGTCCTGTGTTCTAACATACGTTAGAGTTATTAAATTGCAATGCAGTATATTGCAAATTTTGTCATGTTACACGTATGGCAATCTAATCTCTTAGATTAGATTGTTGTTCAGTGGCTCTCAGAACAATTGTTGTTATCAACCTGTGTACAGTATCCATGCACCTGCTCTTGTAAATCAAGGGTCTTGTTGAGTCCGAGGCCGAAGCCTGTAATCTCAGCTACTTGGGAAGTAGGTGGATCACCATTTGCTGTGAATTCAAGGCCAGCCTGGATATTTTAGTGAGAACGTGTTTCAAGATATAAAAAAGGAAAAAGAAGGTGGGGAAAATAGCTCAGTATGTATGAGATTTGGGTTCAATTCCCAGTACAGAAAAAAACCCCTCATAGGTACATAATTATTTTCTATTATTAACAATAAATCTAAAGATATATTCTTTTAAAATTTGTTAGAGAAAAATTTTGCCACTTTGGAAAATTACTTCCTACATTGTTTACTTTGTATTGATTTTTATAAGAACCACATTCTGTAGGGATTTAAAAATATAGCGAGTTTTGCCTTAAGATATGTTTCTAAGCTTGTAAAACAAAGTGTCCAACATAAGATGATTGGAAATCACTGTATGGCAGAAAAGATTCAGAATATTGCATTATGGATTGAATGGCACTCCACCCCTTGTTCATAGGTAGAAGCCCCCGTACTTCGGAAAATGACCTTATTGGAAATGTGACTAAAGATGAGGCTGTTTGGAGGCCAGGACACAATCCTGGGATGACAGATGTTCTCATGGAAAGAGGGAATTTGGACATAGGTAGGTGTGTAGACAGAGAGATGGATGCGGTCTGCACACAGATAAAATCCCACTTGGAGTCATGTGTCACATCCAAGAAACCACTAGGAAGGATCAGAGGGGGTAACAATGTCTTCCCAAGAGCCTACAGCAGTGTGTCCGGCCAGCACCTTGATCTGAGGCTTAGACACTGATGACTGTTCTCTCAGTTTGTGGCAGGCCAGCAAATCCCAGGGGCCTCCTGTCTCCGCCTTCCAGTGCTGGGATTGTAAACACAGGCTTCCATGCTTTTGCTTTTTAACCCAAGAGTTCCGGGGACTGAACTCCAGTTCTTACGTCTACACAGCTAGTGTTTACTGGCTGAGCCACTTCCCAGCCCCCAGGGCTCACTGCTTGGAAGGGGCTTAGTTTCTTCAATTGAAAAGTGACAATGAGCTTCCTCAGTGCATCTGATTCTTGTGGGATTGCCTACAATTAAGAGACCAGGCTCTGTGTTTTCTGGGTTAGCTCTCCAGTTTCAGCCGGCTGAACCCCAGCTTCAGAGGTTAGTATTAATCGGATCTGATAGTTGAATTCATTTTAATGTCCTGCTTAGAATACAGCCAGCACCGTTCTGTGTTCCTGAACACTCCGAGTGACAGTTGGATTTAGAAAACAACTTGGTCATGACATTAAGTAACAAAGAAGGAGATTCAAGAATGCTGTCACCTGACATCAATCGGTGTGACCTCCCAGGCTCGACTTTACCACTGTCAGCACATCCATAGACGGCTTCCTTCCCTTCATCTCCTTGAGTAATTTACAAGGTAAGGATCTTTCTGCTTTTAGATATGGAGAGTGAGGCTCAGCTATTGTTACCAGATAGACAACAGAAAGCAGCAGCTGGCCCCATGGTACAGAACTGGGAGGAGAATGCATGAGGTCACATCTCCAAGACTTTCTTCTACCTGGGCTGCCGCCGGCCAGCATTAGATTTCCCTCTCTGTAGTAATTTACAGCAGCCTTGAAAAACATCTTTTTCTTTTTCCTATCTGATTTTCTTCACTTAGGATACCAAGCGGTAAAAATGTAGGTCACGTGCCAGTGGAGGCCACTGTGGAAAAGTGGCACCAATGTAAGAAGGAAGTGTGAGCTCAGGCTCTTCTCATAATTGGCACCGCCCACCCACTCACCATAATCTCCGATTTCCTATCCTGAAACAGCACGCTTTCCTCATTATTTGAAGAGCACACCTTTGAAAGGGAGTGTTGGCCCAGTGAGGTAGACGTGTAAAGAAGCCCTGCCGGAGGAATGTGGATCCTGCCGTCACTCTGAGGCGGTCTTTCCTCGGATTGATGGTGATGGCGTGCCCATCCCTACATGTGCCAAGCAAGAGCTGAGCAGAGGAGGGTGTTCTGCTGAGAATGCTTAGTTCCAGGAAGGGTTTGTACAAATCGGATGCTCAGGTGATTTATATATAGAGAGAGAGCAAGGACCACACTTAAATGGCCCTATAACATCCTATGCCCACAGGGTATTTTAATTATCACTGACCTCTACTCAGAAAGACTACCGCAACATTTTTATTTGGCTGGACTTTTGCTTCAGAAAACATTTCCAAAAATAATTGCACCATCAAGCTGAAGTCGCGAAATCTCCCTCTGAGATAGCAGCTTTCCTTTATAGCATGGTGGGTTCTGAGAGGCAGGGTGGTAAACTCAGAGGTGTGTGCACCAAAAGCTGAGTGAGAACAGCAATATACTGAAGACCAGCGAAGTCGACTGGGTAATACACAGTGTGGTTTGCTGGGCAATCAAAAGTCATTTATTACTTTATGCTGGATTGTATACATCACTTGATTGCAAACATCATTCCCCACTTAAAAGGCCTGGAGAGGGGGATGGTGAGAGGGCTCAGTAGGTAAAGGCACTTGATGCCAATGCTGACAATCAGAGCTCAATCCCTGGGCCCTACCAGGTGGAAAAGAAACATCTCTCTGAGCCCTACTATGCCCTCCATAGGTCTGTTTCAATATGCAAATGTCCACACCCACAAATAAATAAACATACCTCCCCACTTCTTTAGAAAAACGCCTGGAGGAAAAATACATACATCTATGGGTAACGCACACCCAACTCGAGCATAGTTAGAAGGGAATTACCGGCTGTGTTGGACGTTACTGGTTTTGCAATGGCCTCAGATTTGGTTTCACAGAGGAAGTCATCGATGGAGGGGCTCAGAAGAGGTCTGCTTTCTTGTTGCTCATTCACCAGCTGAGAACAAATGAACACAGGCATCAAAGGGCTTCTTGGCTAAACTGCGGAAGCATTTGAATGAAAACACAGCCCTGCAACACAAGAGGACAAGCAAGCCCTACCGAAATCAACACAAACAGAAATAAAATAACGGGGTGGGCCAATAGAGAAAACAAAACATTACCACAGGCTGGGGATGAGCCTTCAGCACTGTTAATATATTTTTGGTGCAGCCAACTTTAGTATTAAAGCTAAAGCCTGTTCTCTCCCTCCTGGAGGGGCTTTAGAGTCACCTGATTTCAGCACAAGAGAAAAGACACCTGGTCCATCATAGATGCTATGGGCTCACACCATTATCTATCTGAACTAAAAGTCTTAGAATCTGAAACGGGCTTCAGATTCTGTGGTGATGGACTCTCATGAGGACTAGCTACTTGGTGTCAGTGAGTGAGATGTACACACACATGGACCTGTGCAGTTGGTTAGATGAACACTACTTTTGTTCCTTTATTAAAAGCTCAAGGTACCTAGAGCCAACCCCCATTTCCTTAGCATGGTTTTGGAGAATATAGCAAATATTATTTGAGATAAGAAAATATTATTGCATTACCTGTCTAGGCATGTAGTAGGTGTTTGTGAAAACATTTAGTCTATGGGAATAGATTTCTATAAGTATAATCCTATTTTTCCATTAGTTATTTCTATAATTTAATAATTTGTTAGACTTAAAATTCTAACTGAAATCTATTGTAGTATGTTCCTAATTACTGGTAGTGGCCAGTTATTTACTGCTTCACTTTGAATTCACACTTTCTATAGTTATGAGAAAGTACACATAGACGCAAGTAGTTAATTACTATCTTGGGTGTCTTGGTTTCCTGGGAGAAGCACACCTGTTTGACTCTACTTGTGGTCAAGAAAAGATGTGCCTCAAAGTCCCTAGAATTTTAATAACTAACCTGTCAAGGTTTTACTTTTTTTTTTTTTTAAAGAAACATAAATTAAGAAACAACGGACTTTGGAGTACTGCCAAGTCGGAATAGAGAACTGCACTCATTGTCATGTCATTGTGTCTCTGGTTCAAAGTCAACAAAGTAGCTCATGGTCATCAGAGACTGGACACCCAAGCACACAGTTGTTGCTACAGTGCCTCAAACCTCAGGTCTTCGTTAGAGCTTTTCATGGAGAATTAAACATTTGATTTTCCTATCTATTTGTGGATATTAGTGAGGGATACCTTAGAGATCACCTTTCTTTAGTGTTTCAGTTAACGTCGTTAGTCTTCAGTTAGTGATAGTTTTAATGTTACTACATACAAAGACAAGGTTTACTGGGAATCACGGTTCCTAAGGTGGGGTGGGCTTTCGCCTTTTTTTTTTTTGTCTGCTTGTTTTAAAAGATGTACCTTTAGCCTACAAATAAAATTCTGATCCCTTCGCTTTTGTTTTCTGTTTTGCTTTTTGTTTTCCTCTTGGTCATTGCCCATGCTGTTTATTTTGAAATAGCTTTATGTCTTGAGGGTCTGTGAGCGCCCTGAAGTTTCTGGGTAAGACATTTGAGTTTTTAAGAATGCTGTGGATAAATCAAGCTTAGGAATTAGTCTAAATATTTTCTGGCATATAACTCCATTTTAGGATCTGAAGATGAACTTGAAATCATTGGCAAGGCAAATAGGATGCATCTGGATCTGCTTCTCACACGGGCAGTTTGTGTACAACTTTGTGCGGGGGACCCTTTCTAGGATCCAGCCATCATGTTGGGCATAGTGATGACATTTGCTCTTTGAACCCTCAGTATTTAATGAAATAAACCTTTCCTGAGGAATATGGTGTGGATTCCACAGTGCCAAGATTTCTGGAGACTGACAGTCACCATCAAACACGGCACTGCACTATACTCTAACAGGCCCGCACTCACCAAGCAGCCCCCTGGCCCTGTTGGCTCACATGTAGGAGACATAACACAACTGTGACTTTAAAAGTCTAAATATTTACGTATGATGCCAGAGCTATCTCTTTAATAATCAGGACTTATCTAAAGAAAATCTAATTTCACAAACAGGCAACTATGTATAACTAAATTCTCTTTATGTTGATTAAAAAATAGGAGTTATTTCTTCACTAACATTTTGATTTGGAGGAGAATTTAGATAGTGTTTGGTTTGAAATGTTTGTGAACACATAAGGGCTGACTTAGGGACAGGACCTTTGTCTAAACACAAAGCTCATGTGTATTTCATACACACCTTGCACACATGCTTGAAGGTAAGTCTATGTAATAAGTTTTGTGTGCCTGCCTCTCTTTTGGCTGCCACTTCTAAAGTCAGAGGCTTCCACTCATAGCTCCATACTGGAACTTAATAAGTTTTGGATCTAATTTCAGAATAGGAATGCTAAACCTGTATCAATTTTAGTATAGATAAACACAAGTTAAATTACAAGCAATGTTCTCTGGTCCTCCCTCTTCCAAAACAATGAAGGGCTCAGGATTTATCCCTGGATCCCGATTCTGTGTACATGGTTGCAGAACAGGCCTGAGTTTCTATAGCTTAGGATATTAGGATATTCAAGTTCTGTAGATACTCTTAGCTCTTAATGCTGAAAAACCACCCTGTATTATTTGGCGAATTCCAGAGAAATTATTGTTTGTATCAACATCTAAACGGAGAAACGAGTGAAAGGCACTATTGAATAAGGGCTTTCTTCAGGGCAGCATGCTTGTCAAAGAGGATTTTGTTGGCATTGAGGAGTCACTCATTCCAATTTCAGATGGAGTCCCCGAAGGAAGGAAGAGCCGATAGCCCTCTCACAGTCACTGCGCACCAGAGGAATGGGAACCAGGGGACAGTGTCTCAGAAAGATCCCAATAAATCCAGGGCAGAGTCATGCCTCTCCAGTCTTCTAGTGCCCTGCCTCTGCAAGGCTGGTGTCTTTTCGGTGTCCAGTGTCCTGTTTCTGACCACTGCTGACTCCAGAACTGATGGAAGCATGTGATGGTCATGTCATATCCCTATGCCATTCTTGAGGTTTCACTCCAGAGACACAAAACGAGAGGGCACTGTGAGCAGCCTTTAGTGTTAGCATTTTTCAGGCTGGACCAGTGAGGTGGTGCCCTGGCTGCAGTGGGATGAGGCGAGGGTTCCAGGTGAAGAAGATGAAAGGCCAGAAGACAGTGAGCATGAAAGCCATCCAAGTGGGTCAGAAAGAGCTTGGGCCTGGATGGAGGTGTGGACGATGAGGAAAGAGACATCATGAAGACAAAGGAAGATCCCGTTACAGGGTCTGAAGTGAGACACAACCATGGCTCGCCCGTTATAGCCTTCACAGCTTCTAGGAGGGGAAGTTCATGCAAAAGGTATTCAAGAAATGGCTGACAAATGAGACAATGGCTGGGTAAGAACTTAAGGCACAACAACGTGTAGCTTGCACAGTCTAATTAAATGGATTGAACATTGTTTTAGTCATGGCAATGGTATTTTTTAAGTGTGTAGACAGGATCAGCTTTCCCCATCCCTCCTCTTGTTTAGCAAGTGGACTGTTTTCCTCGTGGTGATCTAAGAATAAATGAATCTTTAAGGTCACAGAGAAAAGGTTCATGTTGAATGAAATCCCCCAAACCATCCTGCTAAACTTTACTTTCAAATTGTGTGCTGTGGATTCCTTCCTCATTCATCGGCAGGATGAAGCTCATTGGCATTTAGATTTACTTCTATTCATTTGGAAACACTTTATCAATTTCCCTCATTTAAAACTTTGGGTACAGAGCATATTGGTGTTATTAAAATGTGAATCAAAGGTTTCTAATTCTTGGCTAATAACAGAGTCAGGTCGTGCAATTTTGAGATCAGCTTCTTAGATTAATCAAATTATCATAGCTGACTTTAAAAGGCCCATTTCATTAGGTGTGAGGTTTTGTCTTAGTCTGTTCACATCTTTCCATTTCTCTTTCTTTTCTGGCTGTGGCCTCTTCTCAGTATTTGCGTCAGCTCGAAGGTCATTGGGGATGTAGCTCATGAGAGAATATGTACCTAGCACGTGCGAGGCTTTAGTTTTAGTTCCAAGTACATGCAAAACAAGCCCCATGATGGTAATGGATGCTTACTTGTCTTTCACACACCCTTACAATGGCACAGGCATACCTTTATGGAGCCCCTACAATGGCACACCTTGATGGCTCTTGATGGCACCACTACAACAGCACACCTTGATGGCACCCCTACAACAACACACCTTGATGGAGCCCCTACAATGACACACCTTGATGGCTCACTACAATGGCACACCTTTGTGGAGCCCCTACAATGGCACACCTTGATGGCACCCCTGCAATAGCACACCTTGACCTTCAGTGGAGGGAGTGAACACTATTACTATGCTTATGTAGCACTACCATCTTAGTTTTAATGTTTTTCTTCTCACTAGACTAGAACTGTCATGGCATTAGAGAGTTTATTGCATTTTTTTCCATCCTATAGTAGTGGTTTAATAAATATTGACCAGCTTTATGTAGTGAAACTGGCTGACTGTACAATAGAATGATCATGAGGGTGTCCTGGACGTCATACCGAATTCTAGCAACCCATGGCAAGATTAGTGGTCTTTCAAAATGCTTACCGACTTCCTAGAAAGCTTTATTCTAGACATTCAGGTCCATTTCCTTCCAGGGTTGTGTCTTTTAGATGGGGAATATGGGGTGCCTAAGCAACATTTTCTGATGCTATCAAGGCTGTTAATTTTCTAGCAAGAGGAAGAATGCCACGGATTAACATCTAAAGCAGTGGACATTCACTCAGGCTTGTGCTAGACCGACACCACCAGCCCTGGCGAGAAGAACTGGATACAGGTGAATGGCAGGGCAAAATCACCACAAGACACAACCTCCTCACCTTATTTTTTATTTTAAATCCGAAACTTGCATCTGGAGAGTTTGAGGGAAAATAGTTCCAAAGACACAGAAATGGGGGGTACAGGAGAAAGTAGGTGAGTCGGCAGATTTGCATGAAGGGCTTCCTTATCAAT